AAATCTAGAATAGTCCAAAGATCGTTAGGCGCATAGAAGTTTTCGAATGTTCTCGTATGTACGAGTCCATTCTAGTGGGTCTCGATTCTTCTCGAACGAATGAATCATTGCGGTGTCTATGCGATGTTAAGGTCATCCGAGGGCGGGCCATATTGTGAGGTTAGGTCGAGTCCACACCGGCTCGCAACAATATGACCTTATTCCAATCATTTTGTGTCCACGATAATTTAGATTTTGCCCAATTGTAGCGATTTTTCTTTTGAATTTCTGTCGTAGCGGTTTTTCTTTGGCCTAAATAAAAATTTGTATCAATAATCTTCAGGTAATTGATTATCCACACAAAATAAAGTTTACCTTGTAAAACCCCAGACCGCATTTCTGGATATATTTTCGGCAACATTCTCTTGATATATTTAAACCAGTTACAGTATTCCATTTAACTGTTACTTCGCGAAGAGTACTTCTTCTCGCAGACTTGCAAATTTTTACTAAATTTCGTAAATCTCTTTGAGATACAACTTTTGGCCTTCCCGAACTTTTACCTCTAACGTCTACGTTGGCAGATTCGCCATATTTTTTTATTATATTAAAGACCGAAATCAGAAATTTTTCGAATTGTTTTTCCCGTACTGTATTGACGAATGATAATTTCGCGTAGTTTTTGATTTGTAGCTTTCCCACGGACCATTACTTTGAATTAAATAATTAACAAAATTGAAAATTAAAAAAATTAAAATTACTTACAGTAAATCTCACTACTCAAGTATCGGCGAGTCACTTACAAGCTGTCAATGCTGAAGTATACAGTTTGCGACATTTGTGACGTTTATAGCAAAGCCGCCTATGATGATATTAATTATTTAAAAATACTTGTCCCAACATTTAGTTGTCAGCAAATTTGTCCTTTTATGAACAAAATCCTCTACTGTAAATATGGATTGATTTACAAATTCATAAAAATATTGTCAAGTTGTTTAGGATATATTGCTATGTTTATATTTAAAAAATTAAACATATATTTTTCAGTCATTTTGAAAAACCAGGGCAATAATTCCAAAATATTACCTTGTCCCAACATACTTTAGGGCTCGTAGCAACAGAAGTTGGGGCTCGTAGCAACAGAAGTTATAGATTACACTTACAAGAAAGAAAACTCCAGTGGTTCTCAAAATTTTAGTAAAAAATATTTAAAACTTATTTGAAAAACAATAAAGAGAAAATATGTTTCCTTTATTGAGATCTATCAATCCCTAAAATACTTGTACTTATTTTTGACTCAGTCTTTATATGTTGCCTTATTAAGCAGATATTATGTTTCTGAATTAAAAATTAAAAAACTTCAAAAATTTTTTTCGAAAAATTCCAAATTTTCAATTTTTTTTTAGGTCTAGACACGCCTTACGATATTGACCATTTGAAACAAGCTAAAAATAACTAAAGTGAGAAACATATCAAATGAAAAATATTTTTCAATAATTCAAAAACGGATCGTGACATAAGCGCAGACATTAGTCCATAGGAGTGATTTATGTCAGGATAGACTTATATGAAAATCTCAGAGTGACTTTTAAAAATACATAATTTCCAAATCTATTCAGAGAAACATGGCTGAAGAAGAAGGACAACAAACTGAAGCATCAAAAGACAAAAAAGAAAAAAGTACTTCTTTTACTATAAACAAAGTTCACGTGAGAATCGGCAAACCATTCCCTGTGCACTGTTACGACAAAGGTAAAAGATCTAGCTGGTCAAATTATTTATCTGCCTTACCAACTATTCCAGACAAAACAGATAAATACACCCCGATGCCATACACTTTCAGACTACCACCATCCCCTAAACCCACTCAAGTAAAGAACGTCATAGCCAAATGCCCTCCGTTCTATGTTCTTCTCGATCACACCATAGCTGTGATATGGATGGTATTTTCTGGAGAAAAATACGATTCTCCTTTAGGCATTGTTCAACTGCAATGGGCCTTAGCTTTCTTGAAAACTATCATCTCCAGGACAGGAGAACGGCCAAAAGATGTCGAGGTGTGCGTGGAGGCCATCGAGGATATTCTTGTAGATCGTTACGCCGCTTTATCGAAAGAAATGACTAAAATGGACGAAATCAACGAACGCTCTCACTTTGTCGACGGAGCCTTTCAATCTAAATTTCTAATACCCAAGACATTTAATTTCTCAAAAAATTACGGCGATATTGTAGCTAGAATGGATGTCGACCATCTTGAGAAAATTCCGTCTATAACATCTGCAGCTGCTCAAGAAGAATTAGACAACCTGAAGAAAGCTGCAGGAGTGGAGTCTATCGAAAAACTGGACTCGGTATCGAAAGACAAGGCCGTTAATGTTTTGAAGATCTGGTACCATGAACAAACCGGAAGAATTAAGGAAGAAGTGAAGAAACTCAGAGCCATTCAGGAACAAATTCAACATGTTAACAATGCGAACGTAGAGTTTTTGGATGCAGCGCAGATGGAAACGTTCTTTGAAGAATAATTTGATCATTTTGTAGAACTTCTAGTTACCAGTCATGTGTATTTTTTACAGTCTTTTATTATATTACTACAGTCATACGGAATAAACAATTTGAAGCCCCTACACAGGTATTTTACTTAATATATTATAGAGAGTGTTCAGAAATTAATGCAACAAAATTTGGTCATAGATTCTTTATTGGCCAGTGGCCCACCTTTTCGGATTTACAACCCCCTGTAGGGGCGAAACCTAAAAAGAGTTTTTTTTTAAATATCTCAGGGCCCTGTTGGACGAAAATCACTTAATTTGGTACACGTTGTTTTATCATAAAATGACATTTTTTTTGCTATTAACTTTTTTATTTTCATCAGTGGCGTCCCTACGGTATTTAAACTAAATATTATTGAAGAAAAAAATGGGACGCCACTGTTTTTTCTAATAAAAATTATTAAAATCTACATCTCAAATTTAGAACAAATTTGATCTCTTGACTTTTTTTCGTACGACGCACCGTTATCGCGTAAAAAAATAAAAACCATTTTCATACATGACCAAATCGCTAAAATTTTAATATGTAAATTTTTATAACAAAATTTAAAAAATGGCGATTTAGGTTTTTGGACATTTTTGTTCGCACTTGAGTAATAAAAACAAGATTTTGGAAAATAAAAAAATTATTTTAAACTTAAGTTTGCCGTTTTAAAAATTTTGCCATTGAAATTTATGGTAAAATTTTAGCGATTTAGTCATGTATGAAAATGGTTTTTATTTTTTTACGTGAAAACGGTGCGTCGTACCAAAAAAAAGTCAAGTTATCAAATTTGTTCCAAATTTAATGTAGATTTTAAAAATAATTTTTATTTAAAAAAAACAGTGGCGTACCATTTTTTTTTCTTCAATAATATTTTGTTTAAATACCGTAGGGACGCCACTGATGAAAATAAATTAAAGTTAATAGCAGAGTAAGTGGATCGCCGAGTAGCGACAGAAACCGTCGGCTCTTTTGATGTGGTGGGACCAAATTTTCTTTCTCACTCTTTTGACGTGTTTGACAGATAGACTACGTATTTAACTGCTCAACTTATGAAGTGGTCCTATAAACATGGTATAAACTGCTCATAATTTGAAGTGGAATTAATTATAAAGTTTTGTACATATTTTTTTTGTTTTGTTTTATCCTTATTTCTAAATTTGAATGTATAAAATATCTTACAGCTAATAAATAACTAAAAAAACGATTCGTTGCCTGAGGTATTTTTGAAATAAAGATAAGATAATAAAGTATATAGAGATATTTGATAAATGGCAACAGTGGCAACAGTGGCAACTTCGCTTCTTAATATGACAGATAACCTACTTATTTCGCGTAGCCGCAAAGAAAATTGAAAACGGGACTGTCGCTACTGGGCGGTTTACTTACTCTGTTAATAGCATCAAAAAATGTCATTTTATGGTAAAACAATGTGTACCAAATTTAGTGATTTATGTCCAACAGAGCCCTGAGATATTAAAAAAAATCTTTTTAGGGGCGAAATTCAGGGGGCTGTAAATCCGAAGGACCCACTCACCAAAAATAAAAAATACGGGTCACCTATTTTTTTCAAGAATCTATGACCAAATTTTGTTGCATTAATTTCCGGACACCCTGTATATCGGAGAAAAGTAAATCAACTTTGCTGATAAAATAGAGATTCATATATTTAAAATTAAATTATTTTCTGTGGATATTAATAATTATATGGTTTAAATAGTCATGGTAGGTTACAGTTACAGATAAAATTAAATTAGAATGCTCGGCTTACCGCCGAAACTTATAGGGCGTATACCTTCTGGGACGCTGCTATAGCGGTTGCTAAGAACAGCCGCAAACAAGAACAAAAATAATTTTCTCTTGTCAAAGTCAGAATTTTCAAAAATTATAAAATATTTCAAAATTTAACCCGCCCTCATTTCCAGAAAAAATACTGAAAAGTGTTTAAAGCGTCCATTTTCAAAGTAATTACCTATTGCTATCTTGTGAGTTTAATTTAAATTTTATTTACTCAAACCCGTAATAATTGTGAAAAAGTAGCATTAAAAGCTTAAAAAGCTGTATGAACTGTGAACTGCAAAAAACATCGTGAATCGAGGCATAACGTCGGTTTCCAATGTTTCATAGGTATTTCATACACATGACCTTATATAAAATAAAGTTTCTTAAATGCAACACACTGTATTTTATTTAGAAAATAAAAATAAAATAATAATAAATTTCAATAAATTATATTAGGCGATATAATTCAGGAAAAAGCCGAACCGCTCCGAAATTATCAAAAGCTTTGGAGAGCGACCGTTGTAAGAATAGCGCCAAACAGTATTTATAATTGTCCTTGTGGACACTTTCCAATCTAAACATGTGTCCTTTAGCTTATGCTTTAGCTATGCCGAGACCCAGCTGAGACCCTAAAAATGACACTCATATGACATACTTGACAATTGAATCCATAGATAAATTAACTTATAAAATGTAATCCCAAAATCATGTCAAAGTGACTTTAAAAAAATACATTTCTAAATTACAAGTACTATTTAAAGAAAAATGGCTGAAGAAGAAGAACAAACAGCAAAGAAAGATAAAAAAGAAAAGAGCACTAGAGTTCACGTAAGAATAGGCAAACCATTTCCCGTGCACTGTTTCGAGAAAGGGAAAAAATCAAGCTGGTCTAATTATTTATCTGCCCTACCAACTATTCCAGAGAAAACAGGTAAATACACCCCGATGCCATACACTTTCAGATTACCACCATCCCCTAAGCCCATTCAAGTGAAAAACGTAATAGCCAAATGTCCTCCGTTCTATGTTCTTCTGGATCACGCCATAGCCGTGATATGGATGGTATTTTCCGGTGAGAAATACGACTGTCCTTTAGGCATTGCTCAACTGCAATGGGCCTTGGCTTTCTTAAAAACTATATACGCTAGGACAGGAGAACGACCAAAAGATGTGGAGGTGTGCGTGGAAGCAATCGAAGATATTCTTATAGACCGTTACGCAGCTTTGTCCAAAGAAATTGATAAAGTGGACAAAATCAATGAACGTTCCGACTTCACTGACGGAGCTCTTCATTCCAAAACTGTAAAGAAAATAAATCTGGACAAATTTGTTTTCTCCAAAAATTACGAAGACCTTGCAGCTCGAATGGAACCTGACGATCTTAGCAAAGTCCCTTCTATAACATCTGAAGCTGCCCAAGAAGAGTTAGACAACCTAAAGAAAGCTGCAGGAGTGGAGTCTATCGAAAAACTGGACACGGTATCGAAAGACAAGGCCGTTAATGTTTTGAAGATGTGGTACCAGGAACAAACTGGAAAGATTAAGGAAGAAGTGAAGAAGCTCAAGTCCATTCAAGAACAAATTCAACATGTTAATAATGCAAACATAGACTTTTTGGATGCAGCGCAGATGGAAACGTTCTTTGAAGAATAGTTTGATAATTTTGTAAAACTTAACAGTTACAATCATATATAGTTTTAAAGTTTTTTATTATATTACTAAGGTCATACGGAATAAACAATTTAAAGCCACAACATATTTTATTATACGTATTGTTTTCTCAAACAATTACGCAGATATTGCAGCTCGAGTGGATCTTAACGTTCTTGACAAAGTTCTTTCTATAACATCTGCAGCTGCCCAAGAAGAGTTAGACAACCTAAAGAAAGCTGCAGGAGTGGAGTGTATCGAAAAACTTTACTGTATATATGTTACTGTACATATGTATTACTTATTACGTATTGTTTTCTCAAAAAATTACGCAGACAAAGTTCCTTCTATAACATCTGCAGCTGTCCAAGAAGAGTTAGACGTCCTAAAGAAAACTGCAGGAGTCGAGTGTATCGAAAAACTTTACATAAAAAATACATTTCCAAATTACAAGTACTATTTAAAGAAAAATGGGTGAAGAAGAAGAACAAACCGAAGCAGCAAAGAAAGATAAAAAAGAAAAGAGCACTAAAGTTCACGTAAGAACAGGCCAACCATTTCCCGTGTATTGTTTCGAGAAAGGTAAAAAAATTAAGCTGTTCTAATTATATTTATCTGCCCTACCAACTATTCCAGAGAAAACAGGTAAATACACCCCGATGCCATACACTTTCAGACTCTCAAAAAAAGACACAGTCCACATATAATTTTACATATAAAATGACAGCGATCTTTATTTTATAGCCATCGCTGACGCCCTTTTTATTTTGGTAAAACAAATAAATACATTTTCATACCATATTTTTCTTTGCTACCACTGGCTCCCAAAGATACTCATGGCAAAAACGTGACAGAAAAATATAATCCCCATTCTGTATTCTTTCGGATTAATGTTTTTTAACGACGAGGTAAAAATTAATTAATAACAAAGTATCTGCAAAACTAGCGCATTCGCCTTTATTTTAAACAACAAATAAAATCTATGCGTCTATGGGTGCGTCTCAAAAGTAGCTCACCCCTATAACTTGTTTATTTTTTCAGATAGAAAAACGCGATTTGGTATGTTAATATATGACATAAATTAGGATTGATTGACGTATTCAATTCCTTTCTGTCACTTTCTGTTTCACCAGAAATCGGTTTTTTTTTCGCAACCAAACCAAAATCATTGAGAAATGTATGGCCTCAAGAATGGCGTTATTCCTTGAAGAGAATTTATTGCTGAACGACCAACAGTTCGGCTTCAGGTCCGGACGCAACACTGTGCTAACTATTCTGGACCTCGTGTCATTCATCTTGGATGGCTTTGAGGGTGGGGAACATGTTGGGGCGGTATTTTGCGATTTAAGTAAAGCCTTCGATTGTGTGTCTCACGAGTTGCTCATTAAAAAACTCGACTATTATAAATTTAGTGAGGGTAGTGTTGCCCTTTTGAAATCCTACATGGAGGACAGAATACAGAGGGTGGTCGTTGATGGTGTGTGGTCGAACCCAAGACCTCTTAAAAATGGTGTCTCACAAGGCTCAGTACTGTGCCCTTTACTTTTTTTTTATTTATATAAACAACTTACCACATATCCGACGTGACGACCACTACGTTTTGTTCGCAGATGATACAGCGGTCTCGGTCAGAGGAAAAGAGCTAAAAGACCTAGACGGAGGCACGGATGACGCTCAAGCGAGGGCGGCTGACTGCCGGAAAAATAACCTAGTTTTAAATGAGGCCAAAACAAATCGTGTAATTTTTTCTTTGAGGAGTGTGCCTGAGGACTGTCGCTTCTCCAGGGAATCTGTTCCATTTTTAGGGGTTCAGTTGGACAGTGAAATGCAATGGAATGCTCATATTGAGCAACTATGCAAGAAGCTAAGAAGCGCACTCTTCGTTCTGCATAATTTGTCAGGTACTGTTTCCTGTTGCGTATTGCGGACGGCTTACTACGCTCTTTTTCATTCCATGATGTCCTACGCTGTTTTGGCTTAGGGTCACGCACCTCAGTGGCGCAGGGTTTTCGCGCTTCAGAGGAGGGCTGTGAGAGTTGTCGGAGGATTGAGCTACAGGGATGATTGCAAGGAAACCTTTAAAATGTTAAATATACTTACTCTCCCAAAATCTTTATATATTGGAAAATCTATTATATGTTAAAGCCAATATGGAAAAATATCCCACAAATGCTCAGCACGGCTCTCATGACACTCGTAGGGCGGAGCACCTCAGTATCCCTATACATAGGTTAGAAAGGTCTCGAGATGGACCTAGATACTGGGGTGTGAAGTTTTACAATAAACTCCCAGATGGGTATAAACTATTGTCCGATAAGGTGTTTAAGGGCAGGGTTCGTGGCTGGTTACTTGAAAATCCACTGTATGACTCGAGGGAGTTTCTTTCAAGTGATATACATATTAATCTCACTTGATGGAAATTCCTTCTACAACAGAATTTGGGAACTGGAAACTCCCACCCTATATTTATAGTACAGTGTATTAACTATAGTAAAATTGTCATTGTGTACCCATCTAATATGATGGTCTTAACTTTATGTCTTTTGTGTTAATTTTTAAGTTAATTGTGTTTTATATATGTATTTTATTTTATATTTTGACTTATGTACGCCACTATTTGTATGGTATTGACATCAATAAATTATTCTATTCTATTCTATTACTACAACTTTTGATTTTGAATTTTTTTTTGATTTTTTTGTCTCGGTATTTTTTCCTTTATACATTATTTATTTTTATTTATTTTTTTATACAAAATGACGTTCCGTCATATAGTAATACCAAATCTCGTTTTTTTTTTATCAGAAATAATAAAGAAGTTACAGGGGTGAGCCACTTTTGAAGCACATATACGGGGTGTCCCAGAAATAAGTTCTAAGTATTTTAAGGGGTGGTAGATCTCGATAAAAGAAATATTTTCTCTTTATCGTTTTTCAAATAAGTCCAAAATAACAGAGTTATTTTACTTTGAAAATTTCCCAAAAATTTTTTGCTAAAGTTTTGAGAACCACTAAATCTTTTCTGGATTTTCTTTCTTGTAAATTTATTCTAATTCCTATGTTGCCATATTATCAAGAAATTATGTATTTTAACTAAATACTAAAAAAAATCCAAAAAAAATTCAAATATTCATTTTTTTTTTCGCGAAAAAAACCTCATAGGCGTGTTTCTGGGGTTGAACTATACTACCAGTTAAAATACTTGCACTTATTTCTGGGACACCCTTTATATTTAAAGCGCTTATCTATTTATATTTACAAGTAGATCTATGGAAGAATCTTTTGTAGATTTAATATTTTTGATTATCTCATTTAGATTCCAAAAAAATTAAACAAATTATTTAACAAAATTATTCTGAAATTATTAGCCAACGCTTACATCTTATTGTTGTAGTCAAACTGCAATAATAACATTAAAATCTAACGTAATTAGTATAATTTGACATTTAAACTGCAGATATTTAGATAAGTACAGATTATTCGTATTATGTGGTAATTATGGACCCCCTCTGACTGAATCTTCAGAGTTACAACAGCAAGCAATGAAATATGATGACAAAATTAAATTTATTTCAAAATATAAAATGACCTTTATAGAAATAAATGTCAGAAATATTTATGTTTAAATTAAAAAATAATCAAGTAACAATTTACAATACTTAGTCCATTTTAATTAGAGTAATAGTAGGGTTAAAGTGTTCCAACTCTATTATAAAGAGTTGCTGATAAATACAAGTTCATACTAAATAATATTTTAGTCATGTCATTGAGTGTTGCCCACTTTTATATATTTTCTTTTAATCAAAATATTTTAGGAAACAAAAATATATTAATTTTAAATATATAAACATTTATTATTTACATCAACAAAACTCATCTTCTTAACAGCACTTAGGGGACATAAAGGGTCATTACTACCGCTTTCCCGTTCAAAATATTAAAATAAATTTGCGATGAGTTTTTACGGCTATTAAGCTATCGTGTACCACTTCCCACTAAAAGAGGTTCTAAAAAGAACAATGTTTGACAGCAAGGTCTGCTAGTAAACATTTTCAAGCTTAAAGTATCACAAGACTATTTACTTATTGCAAAAACTCGTAATACAAAATCTATAGTAATATACACAACCAAACTTATATAGAATCATCTATTATTTTTCATAATTTTTGAGATGTATGAAAATTTTCTGTTTATCAATAAAACTCAGCCCTTACCAATGCCTTTTAATGAAAAATAATCCATATAGCAATTAAAAAAATTAATCAGTTCCCAAAATAAACAAAATGGCATTTTTTGGATTCTGATACGAAATTAAGATTTAAATTTTTAATGGCCAAAAAGCATAAACAAAAAGAAAATTGATAATTTTAATATTCCTTGTTGCCACCTCTAGCCCTTATGCAAGCTTTTATCCCCGCTGGCATGCTTGTTATTAAATTATCCACGTTGTCTTGGGGTATATTTTCCCATTCTGCTAATGCTGCATCAATAAGCTGTGCGAGATTTCCTGGATTGTTTCGACGAGCTCTAACCCTTTTTTGAGCTAGTCCCACAAGTATTCAATAGGGTTTAGATCTGGTAAATAGACAGGCCAGTCCAAAACTATGACACCTTCCGTTTCAAGATATTCTCTAGTCACTCTGTTGGTATGGGGAGGTGCACTATCGTGCATGAAGTTAAAATTATCCCCAATTGCAGCTCTCCAAAGATTAACGATTGGTTCTAGCACCAAATCAACATATCTCCGACCCGTTAAAATTTGTTGAAGTGGTAACAATGGAGTTTTTGCTCCTAGTATAATACCTCCCCAGAACATTACAGTTTTTCCTTTATATCTTGGTACAGATTTGGCAGCCTGGAGTCTCGCTCGTCTTCCTGGAGCTCTGAGAACCCAAATTTGATAGTTATCTGATCTTAGGCCAATTCTGGTCTCATCCGAAAAAAGAACATTTTGCCAATTCTCAGTTGTCCAGTTGTGATGTTGAAAGCATCAATGTAGCCGGTCAATTTTATTTTTCCGAGAAAACTGTGGGATCCGTGACTCTCTCCTACTGTAAAACCCTCGTGCACGAAGCCTTTTTCTTATGGTTTCAACT